GGCTGCAAGACTCACCACTAGAAAGCTCCTGTCGACTGAGCTGTCTAAGATGTATACTGTGTCTTGGTTGCGGTAGACACTGGCCAGAACGCATCAATACAGTACATGGGCAGAACAGAAGGACGGTCAATCTTTTCGCCGCAGCACACATTGTACTCTTGCAGGCCCCACTCAGTGGCGCATGCTAAGAAAGAGAAAATTATCGACGGATCAGCACCTTTTTTGACACGTGTACTTTGAGCATTCTGTCTGAGCTTTTGCATCGTTTCTTTGGAGGTGTCGTCGTCGAAATCATAGGAGGCTTTTGCCCTTGAAATAATCAGGTGACCGGAAGCTGACGCCGGAGGCTGACGCCTCAAACTGGTCACCGTGCGCTTCAGGTGCCCTTCTTCAGGCACCACTCAAGGCAGCGACTGCTAACTTGGGGGCAAAGCTGTGCGGCCCACAGAAAACGGCCTGCTGCACTGGCCGAGCAGCAAACTGCTTGTTCTAAAGAAGGTCCTCCTTTGCAAGACTATCCGATTTCAATGTGGAATTAGAAGAAAGCTTCGCAAGTGAACCGTTGGGAGCACCTATTGTCAGCAAACAAAAAACCTCGGCATCTTCTGTAATGCTCTACACAATCATGGAACTCAGTGGTCCACTTGCGCCATTGGACCTAGCCTCCTCAAAGGGAGTTGGGCCTGATTGGCGCTGAGCAGCCGTCGCCCAACAAATTCTGCCGCGGGCAACGAGCTGCTGAGCTATGCCGTAAGCACACTTGACGAGCGAGCAGATTCGATCAAACATCAACCAAGCGACCCAAGTGACGAGCCTGACGAGCAAATAGTACGAGACAGCTAGACCTGAACTTGAACTGTCTTTGAGTTCATTCTAAATGAACTCCAACATAAACCTTTTCACTGCTGCGGAAGGAAGTCTTGGTCTCCTTCTGTACAGCTATCTGCTAGCTCCGGACTTCTAAGCATTGGTCTGGATTCAAAGGAGGCAGCTGGCCACAACCTCCCAAAAAGCATGTCAAAGAAGGTGCATCAATTCCCGGTCTTCGACAGAAGCCAAATATCAATACATGTTCTGTATGTGTATATATGATTATATATGTATATACTGCTTTGTTCAAGGAATTGTTGTTCTCTATAGCCCCCATTCTAATGATCGGCCGAGCTACTCTTCCAGTAAAGGGCAGCTGTTCTTAAGACAGTGGGAGGAGTAGCTTCTCACCGCCCCTCCCCCCCTTTAAAGATACAACGTGGACCTTCAGGACTTCACCAACTTACGGCCAGTTAGATGTGATTTGATCGTCTAGGGCCACAGCGGTCAAGGCTCGAGGACTTCTGGATGAAACTTTTGAACCCTAGGGCCACACTCGGACTCCGACAGAACGACGCCAAAACTAAAAAAAGAACAACTTGCTACATGTGTTTGAAACCATCCATCACTCAGTAGTGAGTACTGTAGAGATGATTCCATGCCATCAAGGATGCACCTCGCTGTGCTGAGTCCCCGCGCTCTTTGCAGAAATATTTCCGAAGCAATGCCTCCGCACAGACGGTTGCAACGCCCATTCGGAGTAGTGTGGTAGTAATCAGCAATAGGAGGAAGAAGCTACTAGTAAGAAGGGCATCACTACTAGTAGCAAGAAGCTACTAAGCTCATTTCTGTGGTTCGTTCGATTCGAACACTTCCTTTCATGCTTTATGTGGTACCTGTGGTTCCTTCTTGGTTTCCGCTCTCTTGGAGCTCTTGTTGGTGAAGGCAGTTACCAAGGCAGAAGCGATGCACTTGTTCCTACTGGCTTCTTGTTACTACTAGTAAGGCACTTGTTACTACTGGCGAGGCACTTGTTTCTATTGCAAATAACTGTTCTTGTTGAAAAGGTTCGTCAAGACATCTTCATGTTGATTGCTGTATTACAATAGCCGCAGTGTCCATAAACTGCCTTGAGCTCACATTTACTGAATTGGGCCTTATTAGTTTGACCAAATGCGTTGAATAATCCAACATTCCTTTTGAATCCACATTTCACTAAAATCCTTTGCAAGTGTTAGGGGTTGCTCTGGGAAATTGTTGGATGCTGTTACCCTCTCACAAAATGCATGTGTTGCATATGGCATGGCAATGTCAGTCCTGCAACAAGGCCAGCCCGAAGCATGCGGTGAATCATTGCCACTTATACTGTAATTGAATGAATAGTGCAACCAGGTTGAACAACTTTGCTCGCTGTCGATTCGCTGAAGAAGGATTGAAGTGTCTTTTTTCAGGCGATAACGATTTGATTGGTCTTGCTCTTTTCAAGGATAGGGACGGGGATTTGTAGTGCTTTGCTGTGGTTTGTCTCCTTGTGCATTCTACAGCAACTTTCCTCTCTTCCTCTTCTCATCTCTTCTCCCTGTCCATTTCCCTTTGCCTATCCGTGTCCGTCTCCTTCTCGTCTTTCTCTTGCTTCTTTCTTTCCGTCTTTCCTTCTTTATTTCTGTCCTTCTTTATTTCCTTCGTTCTTTATTTCCTTCCTTCCTTCCTTCCTTCCTTCCTTCTTCCGCCCTCCTTCTCCCTCCTTCTCTCCTGCCCTCCTTCGCTCCTTCCGTCCTTCCTCCCTTTCTCCCTTTCTCCCTCTCTCCCTTCTCCTCCTCCTCCTCCTCCTTCTCCTTTTCCGTCTCCGTCTCCATCTCCGTCTCATTCTTCTTGCCTGTCTTCTTCCTCCTCTGCCTCCTTTTTTCTCCTCTTCCTTTATGTTCTTCTCACTCTACTTTTTTGCCTTCTCTTCTCTGCCTCACAATACGCACGATTGCAATATGCACAAGACACGCACGTGCCCTCGGCACTCAGCATTTCTCTGAACAGCGCCGGATGCTGAAGTGCGGACCCCACATGAGACCAAGCATCGTATTCTTCTTCCTGCTCCTACTTGAGGATCTATGTCAAGAAGCGCTTTGGGAGACCACTCAAAGGAATGTAAATTGCATGGTATCATGCACTGCCAGCATCACCACAAATTCGTCATGTTGGTAGCTTTAAAAGCCTCTGCACCATGTGTTCTAGGGGCAAATGTTCACCTTTCCTTGGAAAGTTTGTGCTGGGTGCAGAATATATATATATACTGTATATATATCCCATGCCAGCTGCTAGCTGCCAGCTCTGCATTCAAGATATACAGTATCGCATGACAGCTGCTAGCTGCTAGCTCTGCACTCAAGGTGAAACTGAAGGCAAATGGAGCCGATCAAACAGCAGCTTTTGCATGGTTTTGCAATCTTTTCCATGTTCCTTCCTCCTCCCCTTTCTATTCCTTGTGGCAGTGAAGCCTTCTGTCAAGAGCTTGGAGGCGTCTCGCCAGGCCAGGGGTCCCACCTCATCGAGATCCGGCTCTTTCTCAAAGTCAAGAGATACGTGCTCCGTGGCAGTGACCTATAGCGGCCAAAAAGCGGAAGTCACATCCCGAAGAGCAACATCTATAGACCGGCGAAGTGCATCAAGTGCATCAATTCAACTGGCTGCTCAACCCAACCCAATGCTTTGTCCAACAGCACCGAATCCCTCCAGCGAATCGTGTCATGAAGTCAAGCTTGCAAACCTCCGATGGTGGTTTCAAGCCAAACCTTGCAATACAATCGACTTTCTACAATGTGACCTTGAAACCTCTTGAGTCTCTTGAGTTGCAATAGGTGAAAAGCAGCACCAACTTGATAACAGCTTGGCTAAAGCCGCGCGTTCCGTCAAGTTTGTGCACACATTCATGGAAAAGTTCGACCTCCTTGGACTTGTCTCTGATCGAGGCTTCAAAGAGTGGGTGCTCCAGTGCCTGAGTGCACAAAACTTCAGGGCAATCTCACCAGTTGTTGAGCTAGAAAACGGCATGATTTGTTTAGAAGTGGGTCAAGTGGCTCCATATTTCTCCCTTCTGCGAACTTGTCCGGTGATGGTCACTCATCGAGTGGCCCGAATACCGCTCGGAGGCCCAGGTCAAAAGGGATATGAAGGGAGTAAGGTGTTGGTAAGGGAACAGAAAGGTCAGAACCCATTTTGAGAAGCACTCTTTAGACTCTATAGACACTGGCCTCTGCCACGCTGATGCGTAAAGAAGGATTGAAACGAAGCATCTTGTCCTGCAAACGACAAGGAACCTGACTGCTGAAGCTTCTCCCAGTAAGTGTTCGATAATAGCACGTGTCACATGGTTACATGTCAAAAGCAAGCAAAGCCATGGAACTTCAACTGTGCATGTAAAGAGGCAGGATCACGCAGGGGTCGAATCTGTTTACTCCATTCCAGAAGCAACATTGGCGTTAGCCGTCCAAGATGTCCACGCAATCGTCGTCAACGCAGGGGAACTTGGACTTGATACCGTCACCATCTCGGGCGGCAAAACATCTGATGTACCTGGCCCATGAATTCAATGGAAAATTGTACTTTTCATACGATTCTGTGCTACCACCGGGCCTAGACTTGTTTCTTGATTTATACGCTTCCCGTAACAAAGAATTCAATGAAGACGGTATACTGTGACATGGCAGTAATTAGAACCTGCACAAGTCGTAGAGAAGTGCTTCAGTTGATCTTTGAAAAAGGTGAATCCAATTCAGAGAAGAAGTTTACCAGGCCTTCACTCACTTTGCATCAGCCGAGTGATTGTCCCATAGATGCTTTGAGGCAACATGTTGAGATGACTTCCATCTCATTTATATACTGTAATCGAGTTGCTGAAACCACATCACTAGATCCAATGAGACAACAGGTGGTGAACCATGGTGTATTGCTATGGCTTCAAGTGGGCGTCAGCCACACTGCTTTTTCGATGTCCAAATGTCCCGAATGATGTTGTCTCCAGCTTCGTTGCAGGTACAGGCCCCTGGCAAGTCTCGGTCATGGCACCTTGCTGATTGACCAAGAAGCAAATGCAATGAAGAAGCGCTCACCCTACTTTTGCGCATGTGGACGAGGCTTTGACTTTTTCTTCCGGGTGCCTTGCAAAGTGTGGAGATAAGCGCCAAGCTTCAGCTGTCGAGTCATGATGCTTGCTTGAGCAGCTCGGGCAGAGCAAACCAAAGAGAGAGAGAGAGAGAGATAGAGAGAGATGAGATAATATACATAATATATATATATATGATATATATGCTGACAGCAACAGCCAAGTTGCATGAGCATCAAGGAACCATTGAGTCTTGTTACTAGTAGTAAGAATGCTACTAGCAGCGATGCCAGGAGCCCCTAGTAGCGTACTTGCTCCTAGTAGTACGGCCAGGAGCCCCTAGTAGCTTCTTGTTCCTAGTCTGTCACAGCCAGATGCCAAAAACCAAGCAAGTCTCTGAATACGCCAACTGAGCAACCCATTCCTTTGCCGAGCTCGCCATCGTCAGAGAAGGGGGTTCCTTGGGCTACCGCTTCTTCCGTTCGGGGACTTGGGATGTTCAGCGAAGGCGCCATCAAAACGAAGATGCTACAGTACTCTGAAAGGAGATACACAAGAACCTTCGCGGTTTTGGCCAAAGGCGTCCGGAGGTTCAAGGAACACGAATCTCATCGAATCTCCTTTCTGACACTCCCTTTCCACACCGTCTGAGTGGCCTGCCTTAGAACCACTTAAGATCTCGATGTGACAAAGGGTTTTTTGGGCAATGCCAAACATTATTGAAGTGCAACGGTTATTGCCCTTACCGAAAGCTGGGAACGAGAATTTGAAATGGTGTTCTGTCCATGGACTTGTCTGGTCCACATCCTGTCATTGCAAATCGTCGATACATCTTGGTCATGGCTCTCTTAATCCTTTCCCTAGCAAGCAATCCACAGTTCCAGTTCCAATATGTCCCTATGTCAGATTTTTCTGAGACGCAGTTCTGAGCATGGCCATTCAGGTCAGAGATGTCACGAAAATTTTCTACCCTCAAAAGAGGCAGATGTGCAACAAAAAGCCTTCTTGTGACGCTTTTTGCTTCATGATAACGCGCCACAGTGGGTCCAGGGTCGACTGAAGTAAACGAGACAAGGAGATCCTCCTGGAACTGCAACTTGCCGTCACCGAGATGCCAAGCAGTTGCCAAGCCCAGTGCCAAGCAAGCTGGTGTTGAGCCCGTGTGACGAGTTGAATCCCTGGCAAGCCAGAATTCGATTATTGTATTTTTTTGCTTGTGGAAACTTTCAGGAGGCCCATCGCAGGAGATCTTCTGCGTCCTTGTGTCGACACTAGCTCACCATTCAGATTGGACTGCCAGTGTTGCTCCGACCACCAGCATTGGTGCACTTAGGCAGCTTAGGCCTCGAATTGTTTCATGGCTGGCCTTGATGGCCTTGGCTTGAGGTCAAAAAAGTTGGGAGAAGAGCGCGACAAATGCTTGACCATCTCGCGCGTGCAGAAAGTGCTGAAGCAGCCGCCTGACTGTTCACTGCACACGGTTGAACCCTGCATGACACTGGCGTTTGGATGCTGGACAAAGCATCAGTGCCTGGATATCTTCATGATGCAGGTTGCCTTTCTGGAGGTGGTTTGGTTGAGGACTCAAGCTTTGCACAAATCCCAGATCAGCATGAGTGAAGATGTTTGATTGTCCGGCAATCGCAGAAGGCACAATAGAGCCAATGAGCAATATGCTGAAACTCAGAGAAATGCACTAGAGATGGGTTGTTTGCAGGATGTCGGGTGCCTGCGTCCACTAGTAGCCATGAAGCTGACGGGCGCCAGCCTCGCGTGTAACGTGTGGTGACCACATCATTGCTACTAGGTGGAGGCCGTCGCTATTGGGTTGGAGGCCATCGCTCCTAGGAGCAAGGACGCTACTAGGAGCAAGGACGCCATTAGGTGGAGGCCATCGCTAGTAGGTTGGAGGCCATTACTACTAGTAACAAGAAGCTACAGTGAGGCAGGCCTGCACAGTCTCATGTGTTCGATGCAGAAGCGGATGCATGTGCCGCTTGTCAAGTGGACATTCCAGTGAATGCTCTCGAACAAGTGCGTGGAGCCAATGTTGTTGCAATCCTTAGTGTGAGCAACGACAATCCTCACTCGCACTATCGTTTTTGCAATGTGCCCATGTTAGAGATCAATCAATGCACATGCTTTTTGTGGCAGTTTCCCTCCTCCCTGCAGACGCTTTTGCAAAGGTTTTACCAAGGAGTAAGCTTGAAGAGTCAAGGATAAAGCTGAACGTGAGAGCTCGGGAGGCATGATTTGGCAATGCCAAACAGGGAGGGCCTTTGTGACTTTTGGGTCTTGGCTCAAAACGGGTGAAAAGAGGGCGTGCCCCACATGTTTCTTTTTTGTGGGATAGTATTGTTTTTGTTGTCGGAAGGGGGTTAGGGTCTGGGAGTTGCCAGCAGCATAGTCGCTGGTGCCTCTGAGGAGGGCGCAGTTCTCCAGTGGCACTGGGGCACAAGTCACCAAAGGCCACATAAGCCACTAAAGGTCAAAAGCAACAGAAGCCACCAAAAAGCTGAAGCTAAAGAAGCCACACAAGCTACCAAAAAGCTAAGCCCAGAGCCAAAGGACCACAAGAATAGTCTATTTCAGAGAAATCAAGACATGTATCGAGGTGAGTTGATGCCTCTGCATCAGCCGAGTGAAAATCGCACGGATGCTTTTAGGAGGCAACACTGAAGCTGTTTTTTGGAGTTCCTGAAACACCATCACAAAATCCTATGAAAAAAGTTGAAACGAACCAGAGACTGCGTGGAACAAACGTTGGACGGTAGATTTCAACAACTCCCCACTGACCCGACCTCCGGGCATCATCCCTCTCAAGGAGGTTGATATCTGCCTGATCATCAAGAACAAGGCATGTCTGCCATTCTCTGATCCCCGGAGTTTTCTTGGCTCTGAAGCTGCACCTTCCCATTTGTCAACTCAACTCCTGTTTTAACTTTTCAACGGCAAGAATCAAGTTGTCAAGCACCACAAGTAACAAGAATATATAGCTATTTTTGTGGATGAAGTCTGGTTCCAGACTCCCTCACTCCTCAGCTTTGGTTGGATTCCCCTGACATGTTACATCTCCGGCCTCTGTTGGCGTGCCCAATAGGTTGAAGATCATATTTAATCTCAGCAAAACAGTGCCGCAACTAGTAGTTGCTATTTGCTACTATATATAGTAGTAGTAATGCACTTGTTACTAGTAGTGATGCACTTGTTACTAGTTCAGTTCTACACAAAGTGAATGCAATGCTTGCACTTTGGCTCTCCTGACTGCATCAAAGCTGAAAAAATGCCGGCCTACTGTACAAATCATAAAATGCTGTTGCTGTATCTAACTCAATTGGCTCCCTGGCTGATCATGCTTCCCTCTGGTGTGGTATCGGTAGTCTGTCCTTAGCAGCGTTTTGCCTACATGAGAATCCATCAACAGCTAAACAGGCTACCGACTCCTGCCAAATCTAACATGCCTCGTCCAAGCTGGACATCAAAAAGCAACCCCCAATTGTGTTGTTTAGGCAGCAGCAGGTTTGCACAAGTAACTGTACGAACACATATTGAGGTGTGACCATGGGAACGTGCAACCGCAGCTGGACGGCACACCGCCCGCCCACTTTCGTTAAAACATGGCAAAGAATCAATCTGTTCAAAGTCTGCTGAGTTCATTTGGGTCCTTGAGGTCCAAAAGCGCTTGTTACCTTGATGCATGTCTGGGATCCCGCACTTGTGCTTGTGATCTGGTGACAGCGGAAAACAGGAAGAACCCGGGAACAAAGGTCCCCTGTCCTGCGCGAAAAAAAGATAAATTGTTACAAAGGAATCTGAGTGACGTCTAAGTCTCCTGGCTTTGCTAAGGTCCACGGTATTGAATGTTTGCAGCAATGCCAGGGCTCCCCCATCCGTGAAATGTGTTTGACATTCAAGGCGGCAGTCCTCCATCTTGTTTCCTTCCAACATGCCCAGCAACTCTGCATAGATACAGCCCACAGACCAAACATCGATCGCCTGAGAGCTGTCGATCTGAAAAGGGAATCTGTTCGTTGATGTCCTTGGAAGTCACAGCGACTCCCAAAAGCGGTTGTGATTTGTGATGACGCTATCGAGGTGCTGTGGCATGTAGGATAGAAGCGTCCTCTCAAGCTTTCCTAGAAACGTTGCACAGCCTCGGTTCTGAGGTTCAAAGTGCGAAGGGTTTATTTGAAGGACCTGGAGGGGGCACAACAGCAAACAAATTATATCAAATATGGATTTAAACAAAGGCCTTCACAAAGTAGGACAAGCATGTGACATTCTCTCAAGAAATCTCACGATGTTATTCTCCCGGCCTCGGTGTAGTTTTCCTGCAACAAAATGAGCTCTGGCCTTGAGGCAAAAATTGAACAAACACCGAAAATAAATTGAAACCAATGTCAGTTTGGAAACTGCTGAATTCGAAGAAGCTGCCAGAAATTCCCTTGAAGAACCCTCATTGTACGAAATGGTTCCCAATTTTTTGAGAAACGATTATAGTAATTATATTTAAGTATATAGTCTATAAATGGTATATCTATATGATGGTATATACTAATATATACTATGTTATACTACAATTATCGTTATATAAGGAGTACAAGTTATACCAACAATGTGTGTTTGAGTGGTTCATGAAAATTCTTAGGAGTTTGCCTGGACCACCGGTTCTTCAGCGCATGGATTGGAACTGTCGGAATCCCGATGATGCTCATTCCGCCAGGCTTCCCCACGCGCGGTACCATCGTGTCACCACGTGTCCAGTCAAAAACCTTTCACAGTTGGCTTCTTGCCGCTTGCCCACAAACCAAACAGAACCCATGGCGATACTGCAGTATCAAGATAGTTCCTCATATTTCGACACACGATCTTAATGTGCAGCTGTAGCTCTCAAGCGTCCTGACTGTACAAGATGCTTTCCGGGGTTGGGAGGAGTTTGTCCTCTGAAAAAACTGAGAACCAGCACAAACATGAATCTTCACTTTTTGCTGGTTGTGTGCTTGCATGATTTGTATCAAGCAGACTGAAAGTCTCAGAGGACTTAGACCAAAATAGTGTGTAAAGTCGCAAGCCTGTGAGAAGCAGTGATGAACCCCACCGATGAATTTCACATAAATATATATATATGTATATAAATCCTCACGGGTTTACTTAAGACTGTGACACGCTTGTGAAAGACGCAACGTATGTTTAACGTTTTTACGTTTTGTTAGGAAGACAAATAGCGGAAAAAAAGAAGGCGTCTGTAAAAAAACAACAGTATCTCCAACGTCCAAAAGGTCGCATCCAAACAGTCTGCAGGTCAGATTGGAAGCACACTTTCAAGCCGCACAAGCTTCTCAGTGCGCGTAGAGCTTTTGCCGACGCTCTGAGTCAGGCATTTGGGTGTGAGGTCCGAAGCCACCAGTGGCACACGTAGCACCACAACAGCCCAATCACTTCTCCTTCATGTTTTCGCGCAGTGATTGGCTTCGGAATGTTAACATCCCAACCCACCCCACCCCACTCTCAGTCACTCGCATTGTGTACGTAGCGTAGCGTAACGTAGAGGGGTTTCTTCTGTATGGGTGTGCAAGTTGAGCCGCACGTTAACATCCCAACCCACCCCACCCCAACCCACCCTCAGTCACTTGCATTGTGTATGTATAGCGTAGCGTAGAAGGGCTTCTTCTGCATGTGCAATTTAAACCGAAAGTTAACAACCCAACCCCAACCCACCCTCAGTCACTCGCATTGTGTGCGTGGCATAGCGTAGAAGGGTTTCTTCTATATGGGCGTGCAACTTGAGCCGAACGTCAACATCCCAACCCACCCCACCCCAACCCACCCCCTGTCAGTCACTCGTATTGCGCGCGTAGCGTAGAAGGGTTTCTTCTGCGCGGGTGTGCAAATTGAACACAACGTTAACGCGCCATCCGACCAAAACCCTCGGAATCGTGGAGCAATTCTGAAGTCGTAATTAGTGTGTGTTACATCGACCGACAAAAACACGCGCGGCAAATACGCGTATTATCCGCGACAAATTCCGAAAAGAAACTATCTCAAATACGCACAAATGACGCGCGAAAGTACACGTGAGGTTAAAACATATATTTTTTCTCGGACCTTTTTGGTGTCTATGCTTCTGCGTGGGGCTTAGCCCGAAAACACAGTGGCAGCTGTGTGGCTTTGTTGCCGGCCGCGCAAGGCGGTCGAAGTTGCCTGCCTGCTAGCTTGCCAGCTGTTCTCTTTGTGGGCGGCATGTCCTTTGCAGCTTTGACAATAGATTTTTTGTCCCCTGCGCCACAGCTTGTGGGTTGGGCTGCCGGTCCAATGCACATCCGGTGTCCACGGTCCATACCAACATGGACTCTGGTGGAGCTGCTCGATCTTCTCTCTTGCCGCATTTCGAAGTGCACGGAGACCACACTTTTGGCACACAAGGTAGTTGGCTTGTTGCTGGAGCAGGTGTCCGTCAACGTTTTGCTCATTCAAGATGCGGTTGATGAACTCCTGCTTGGTCTCCATGTTGGAATCACCTCCTGTGATGGAGACCCCAACTGCCACTTCACACTTCTCTTCTTTGATCTCTTCCAAAGCCTGGATGGTCATCCGCTGGTGGATCTGTTTTTTGCAGTGCCTGCATTGGAGTCCCCGGCCTTTTGCCATCCAGTGATGTCCATCTTCTTTCCCAGTGACACCAATCTCAAGGTAGAGGGCTTTCTTCTCGTCACGTGTCTTCTGACGAAGTTCCTTTCCCTTTGTTTTCTCCCCATGAAGGAAATGGTCAGGCGTCTCCAGGAGGTATCTGATTCTCTCTGCTGCCATTGGCGCATACTGCTTGTAGCGCTGGTCTTGCTCTTGAAGTTCTTGTTCAAGATCATGAGGCTGCTTCGAGAGAGCGAATTCCATGGCTGCCCTGTTTGCATCTTTGTATCTGTTGCGTAGTGAAAGTCCTGTGGCTGGCATGGTGTTGATCTGCTTTTGCGTCACACTGAGGGCTCGAATCCTTTGTCTTTGATCCCAAGTCACTAGGTTGGCCAAATCAAAGAATTGGTCATAGTGGAGCCCTTTGACCCATCCCTGCCAGGCCTTCACCGAAAGCACGTGCACTCTCACCATGTTGGTAAGATCCACATAACGCGCGATCATGCGGAGTGCGTAGTACCAGGCACGGTCACGCGTCTGTCGTCCTGGTAGTATTGCGCTGATTGCTCCCATCCGGTACATTTCTCCACCGAAAATGGTGTGATGGAGGATGGTGACGACAAAGTATCGCAAGCGGCTGTCTTTGCTCGTTGTGGCTATGCCGATTGTCCAGGCACCATGTCCTCGAAGGGTGATTTCATCTAAGCCCGTCCATGAGCCCCAAGCCTGGATGGCCGCTCCGCCAGTTGAGAGCTGGTAAGCAGGCTTCTGCACAATCCCTGTGACCAGAACTCTGTGTTCAAGCCTTGCTCGATTTCCGTGGCTGCATCTGTTGGGATCGGAGGAAAATGGCGGTTGGTCTCTTTGCACTGCCAAAGCAAGTGAATGGCATCTGCTGGTCTGTGGCAGTGTGGGCACATCAGGCGTTTGCCCTCCTCACTTTCAGAAGTCTTGGTGAAGATTGCACCCTGGTGCCATGTCTGGAGCGCTGTTCGAATCTTGTTGTTGGATTGCTTGTCCAGCCTGCGCCATGGTAGCCAATCTAATGGCTGTTGGATGTCCTGCAGGGCTTGCCTCCTTTGAATGTTCTGGATGCGCTCTCGAACCTGTGCTCTGGCCAGCTCCCCCTTGAGATAGTGCCAACTGGATCTCATGTTGAGGGAAAAATCATCTTCACCATTGCTGCCCGGCTTGGTCCAAAGGTCATATTGGTCTGCTTGCCAGCCATGATCTTGAAGGTAACAAAGAAGGGCTGCAACTGGGCCACGTGCCACTTGCCAGGGATATTTAGCTTTCTGGAGTCTTTCTTTGGTGACCTTCCAAGCTTTCTCCACATCTCGGTGTAGGTGTTCCGGCCAGTTGCCAAAGAACTTGTGATACACCTTGATCTGTGCCACGACGGCCTCATAGGCTGGATCACGATGGCGAGGCTGCATATCGAACAGGATGTCCATGTTCCCTGTCCTTTGTAGGCCCATCTGTCTTCTGTCGCGTTTGTGGTGCCAAGCCCATGGATTGGTGCCCCCAGCTTATCCCTGCTTGTATGCTCCCTTTGTACAGTTTGAGGCGTATAGCGCGCTGTGGTATCTTCAGGGCGTTCATCTTCCTGAGCTTGTTGCCTGCTTTCTTTCGTCTCTGCTTCATTGTTTTTATCCGCCTCAATCTGCCGGCCGTGCAGTCCACTCCGCGATCTCTCATGATGTCGTGCACCTGAGGCCCTCCTGGTGGGAGCTGTTGCTGTAAGAGTCTCTTGGCCTCGACATTTGATGCCACGAACCCCGTCTTTTCTCAGAGGTTTTGAGATCGTCCTCTTCGAGCAATTCCTTGATGTAGGTGTAGGCCTGTATTGCTATCCAGAGGTCCACATGAAGGAGTGGGTATTTTTTTGCAGAAGGATTTGAGGGCCTTCTGCAAATAGATCTTGGCCGCAAGGGGCGCCTGTGGATTCCTGCGAGAATCCCATTTGTTGTCCACATAGGTGTTGATGCTTCTCCTTCTACTTCAAGAACCCTTGCGCCGCAATAGATCTGCATGGCAAAGGAGGCGTGTGTTCCTGGATAGTTTGAGGTCATCCATCGTTCAGCCAGCTTTTGTAAGTTGATCCTGTCATAGAAATTGGACACGTCAAGAAGGACGGACACCACTGTTTTCTTCAGTGCGTGGTGGTGTTCAGTGAGAAAAGCTCTTTTGAGGGCTACTTGCAAACACTCAGTCCCTGGGACTGCTCTCTCCCATGGGAATTCGTCTTCCAGCTGGCTTTGCCATTCTTTGGTGTAGCTGTTGCGGATGCGGCACCATAGCCTGTACATGGTAGCCACCAAGGCGATGGGCCGTTCTATCCCTGTGGACTTGGGCAGCATGGCTATCAAGGAAACCAGCCATTGATTGGGGACTGTGCCATGCTCCTCAACCTGGTGGTAGAAGTCAACGATGTCCTTCATGGCCGTGTAGGGTAAAGCTTTGAGGAAGTCGAAGCCAATGCCATCTAGGCCAGGTGCTTTTGTGGAGAGCATTTTGATGGTCTTCCACACTTCTTTCTCGGTGATTGGTTTCATCTGCATGGCATGCTCCTTCCCTTTTTGGATCATAGCTTGTAGGGACGTGACTTTGCGTTGCTCTTCTCGATGTCCCCATATAGCTCCCCATTGCTGTATGCGCTGCTGCGTCCTTTCTTCTCGAGGGAGTTGTAGAAAGGGACGGAGATACGGCTGTTCATCTTTCTCAGGCTGCGGAAAAGGCCTCGATGCCCTTTCAGGCTGGCTTGTGCAAGCCACTCTCGGTAGGTCTCAGTCTCAGCTGTAGCACTCTGTTGTTGATGTAGTTCACGTTGCTGCCGGGCGTAGTTGAGCAGCGCTTGTCCATGATCTGGTTCATATTGACCCCACAGCATCTGGTAGAGCAGCTTCTTGAAGGGCAGAGGCAGAGTGGGCATAATGCATCGTCTGCGCATTGCCACAGGTATTCGCTACCGGCTCCAGAGGGGCGCAATCCACCCAGTGATGACGTGGGGAGCGCAAGCCAACGGACTAGCTCCACAGAGGAGACAACATCTGCGTGCGTTGGCAGGACGAGGCCTCAAACTTCAACGATCTGGGTCTGTTGATGTGGTGTTCGACATGCACCCTACACAGCCGGACCCAGGGGATTCGATCATCCTGCAACATCTCCACAAGGTCCTCCATGGATTCAATGAGAGCAAACAGCATCTCTTTTGGACCAGTTGGAACACTGCTCTCGGAGCCCTTCAGCGAGTCCGGTATCGATGGCAGGTTGTTTCAGGACCCCTCCAAGCTTTGCAAGCATATTTGCTTGACCTGGACTTTGACATCTCCAACGGTCAGCAATGGAAAAGGACAGGCTACGGAGAGATTCCTGATTGTGTCATCAGCCTCAACGACTCATGGCCAAGCTTGCATTAAGCTTCAGCAGGAATTCCGTTGGCAACGACTGTTGCGACTGACAAGGTATGAAGGCTGCCACGACATCGAAAGGCCCTTGGATTGGATGATCAGCTTGCACATCCAGCGATCTACCAACGAGCAGTTGGCCACCGGCCTCAGGGCCTTTCATCAGGGCACACTGCATGGGCAAACTGGCCATTGTCCTCTTTGCCGGGTTGAGCTCACCTTCATCCACCTTTTGTTGGAGTGCTCCTTCTGGAAAGGGAGAGTCAAGGACATGCCCTCAGAGTGGACCCAGCGGCTTGGGGCGGGCACAGATCCGGAGCTATGGCAGAGAGGCTTCGTTCAGAACATCTTCTATGAACCGGAGCAGGGCACCGCCACTTTTGAGGGTACAGGCATCTGGAAAGACCTCCGGCCACTTCGCTTGGAAAAAGGCCACGTTTGCTCCATAGCCATTGCTCCCACATGCGGTGACAAGAGGCACAAGCGCTTTGCCTTTGCTATCTGTGTGCACTTCACCTCCAACAAGAAGAGGGCAGGGAGTATCACAGGCGTCTGCCCGGGTCCAGCAACTCGGAAAAGAGCTTTCTTCTTTGCTTTGAAGCACTTGGCTCTCCATGTCACTGAGAAGACTCCGGTTGCACTGTATGAGGTTGGGACCTGGCAGACATGGAAACCACATGGAGCCTTTGAGCATTTCCCTGACTTGTTCACTAGCTTGGAGTTTGAGGATTTTGACCATGTCTGGCCTCTGCTTTTTGCCAAGAAGGAGCTCGAGCAGAATGAGCTCCGGCGCATCACTCAGAGTGACACCCAAAAGCTGACCAACAAGACTGGCAAACTCTTTGAACCAACCGAAATCTTGGATTTGCAGTCCCACGTCGACGAGGATGCCCATGAGATCTTACTCAGCGCTGGAGAACGAATGAGCATTTTGCTTCGGGAGAAGTCCCACTTTCTTCACCGCAAAGATGAGCACATCAAGGAGAAGATCCCTCTCATCCAACAGAAGAAGGAACGGCTGAACGAGCTGCTCAACAAACCCTCAGCAGCTGGACATGCTTGGGCTCCTTTCAGGAGTGGCATACAATGTCAGCATTGCAAGCTCCGCTACCACAGCAAGAGTCTCATCGTTGATCTCCAAGAGGCACAGGAGAAGCCATGCCAACAGGCTCCAACTCCGTCTCAGTCCAAGCAGACAAGAATGGAGGTCATCCATGCTCTGGTGGCATCACAGCAGGGACCACAGCAAGGAGTACATCATTTGAAGTTGGACCGTGCGTACTTACGCTGTACGGAGTGTCGGAGCTAGGATCTACATTTTGGCAAGGTCCAATGAGGAAGCTTTCAGCAGGTTTGTTGGCAGAACTTTGGCATGGACATGTGACGCACACTATGTCACGACGAGGGTCACAAGTCGAGTGCACCCGCTGTTTGGCTCGGACGAAGATCCACGACGGGGCGGCGATCCTCACTTCGAGGTTGAGATCGACTTGCTCCTCTTTCAAATCAAAGGATTTGAGGGAGATGTTCCGATAGCACATACTTGCAGAAAAGGCGTGCAGCAAAAAAAACGCCCCCCCAGGAACCAGGTCTTAGGATGGTTCGGATGTATGTTTCAGGAGGTGTCAGATTCATCAAGGACTAATAAAGCAGGAGAAGCACTTGAGAATATATCCCAAGAAGAATTAACAAGACGAATTTGTAAAAGACTTGCTCAAGCAGGCGCTGGTACTACTATAAGAGAAATACAGAGGGAACTTGCAACAAACAAGAAAATGCAGAAGTCAAAAATACTGTTTGGAACGGAAAAAGCTATTTTGCAAGAAATCTGAATGGACATGTTACCAAGAATGCAACACTTTATAAAGAAGAAAGGAAACAAGCAAATAAAAAACAGCAGAGGGCAAATGGGATCTGCAACACAAGTGTGTGAGTATAAGATACACTACTAAGTCTATACAAGTGGCACTACTCGAAAAATGGAAGCATTGCACAAGACATACGGGATGACTTTATCATCTGCCACAGGTAGCGTGAGAAACATATAGAAATACAAATGCGTAATGAAGGAGCTAGAAAACTCACCTGAGAATACAACATTAGTCGGACACAGTGTGGCAAGTGCTGTCATCGATCTATGTGCCATAACAACTATTGCAACAGCAACCAAGCAAAACCAAAGCGGCATGCAAAACAAAATCCAAGGAGGCTAGATTTTAGAACCTTCAAGATGTAGTCAGTATATGAGATGGGCACGCTGCTATGCCATCACGGACGACGTGAAAGACATAAACAAAAAACAACACGTAAGTGCCCCTACACTAAGAAGTTTTTAAGGACAAGGCCTTTTAATATTCACTCATCCCTCTGCCAGAATAAGCAAAACCGAACGGCTAGCATTCGCTTAATGCCCTAAGTACAGGAAGCAAGACTCCCTACAAGAGTGCTGTGCACTCTTACTTCTTACTTTTTACTTCTGATAAAATTTAAATATATTCTAACTTCTTCTGGAATTCTCTTAGTACTGGACAGTTTACTTCCGTGATTCCGAGAACACAGTGTGTATGCACAAATGGTTTTATATACAATACATATATATGTATATGTGGTACCCCCCAGACCAAAATGAGCCAAAAATCTATATAATCTGTCCAAAACGCAAGAAAAAACAGCAAATACAAATACAATCTGTGCCATATATATAGATAGAGAGAGGTTTTGTATGTGTTTTCATCCCACAAGCTCTTCATTGCGCCTCTTCAGCTTCTGTGTGTTCTTTTCCTCTCCAGGCTCCTTTAGCACCCCAAGTGGGTTTCGTCAGGTTTCAGGTCTTCCAGAATCGACTTTGGTTGGGTGGAGCGAAGTCCTGTCTTGCAACCTTGAAGAAAATACAGAATGTCGCCAGAACAAGGCCCTCGTAAAAACGCAACAAAACAGCGTAACAAACATGTGTGCACCGCTCATCATCCTCCGCTACATGCTGCTCACCAATTGCTCGTGACCTTGAGCTACAGAATCGTTTGTCGGGCATTGAAACGCAAAGGTTCAGCAAGATCTCTCTGTCTGTGATTCTGGTGTTCAATTACATATCTATCACAATGCGACAAACATGTTGTGTTTTTCTGTTGGAAGGAGGATCATGTGCTCTTCGCGTCTACAAACCTGCTGAGCAACCTCAGACCGCAACAATCCAAAGTCACAGATCTTGATTGAGCAGTCCTGCATCCAGGCCACAGGAATTAACGACTGAACATGTTCAAGATCCCATCTGGAAGCAGACTGTAAACTAAATTGTCTATACTAGGAGCAAGGACGCTACTAGGGGCTCCTGGCCTTACTACTAGGAGCAAGGACACTACTAAAACCTCCTGGCCTTACCACTAGGAGGAAGGACGCTACTAACTAGGGGCTCCTGGCATTACTACTAGGAGCAAGGACGCTACTAGGGGCTCCTGGCCTTACTACTAGGAGCAAGGACGCCACTAGGGGCTCCTGGCCTGGCCTTGCTACTAGGAGCAAGGAAGCTACTAGGGGCTCCTAGCCTGACTACCAGGAGCAAGGACGCTAGTAGGGCCTTCTGGCTTTACTTCTAGGAGCAAGGACGCTACTAGGGGCTCCTGGCCTTACTACTAGGAGCAACTTACTACTAGGAGCAAGGACACTACTAGACGCTCCTGGCCTTACTACTAGGAGGAAGGACGCTACTAGGGGCTCGTGGCCTTACTACTAGGAGCAAGGACGCTACTAGCGGCTCCTGGCCCTACTACTATGTTGTAACAAGAAACTACTAGGAGCAAAGGGCATCGCTAGCAACGACGCTACTAAGGTCTCCTGGTTCACCAGGCAGTTGGCCGGCTTGAGGTCTCGATGGTAGATCCCCGCCGAGTGCAAATACCTCGAGTAAGTCGAAGCGAGTCAACAGTGGAATCGGTTTTTTAAGGTTCGTTTGTTTATATATTATACACTACATCTGAGAAGGGAGGGGACGAAAGCCAGCCACCGTAAAAGATATCAATATTGTTATATATGGGTGGTGAATGCGAGAGCCCTGGTGAGCTCCCCACCTCTTTTCCTTTCACCTCCTCCCCCACTATGCCCATTTTATACATGAACTCCCACTCCATATGGGCTGCCCTTTTGCGTAGTATAGTTGACAGGCGTCTTCACCTTTAAAAATCGCACCCCCAAGCAACTCTAACATTTCTTGCAAACACTCTTTCCCTACCACGTTAAGCTATGCCTGTCTTCCACCTTCCCCACATCACACAATGTCTTAAGAGACACACACACCTCCCTTTCACACTATTTCACTGGCCATGAGAGGCGCACATCTCCCTTGTCTGGAGGAGCTCCAACCACTTTTCGCGTCCCGTTGTCCCCTCTTTCCTATTATTGACATGAACTCCCACCCCTCGTAGAAAACGGTTTACATTCCCTTTTTGAGCCCCTTGCTAATGATGCACTACTGGCCGTCAATTACATCACCGGCATCCCAACACCCCAAAACCTACTCATTTTCACTACCAAGTGGCCACCTCTCTTTTTCGCTCTCCCCCACCAGGCTCTGGGTCAGCCTCTCTGACATTGGCCTGCTCGCAACCACCCCCCCACACACCCCTTTACTCACTTGGTTCGCATAGCTACCTCAAGCCTTGCCTATCGGCTGGCTTTCGTGATATATATATATATGTGTGTGTGTGTTTCTTTAAGGGGGTGGTAGGCCGCTAGTAGCTAGGGAGTCGCCAGTAGCTAGGGACAGGGAGCCGCTAGTAGAAGAGGTAGCTACTCGCAATTGGACGCAGGATAGCTCAGGCTGTTTCCAGGAAGCTCCCCCCGCCGCCTTCCTTGAAGAAGCGCTCGCACTACTGATTTGTTCCTAGATTTTTAGGGAAGCTTAACTATAGCTTGTAGAGTGTGATATACATAAAGAAATGAGGAAGCTACATCGAAGATTTTGAAAGCTCCGGGTCTTGATGTCTCTCTTCACAGATTAAAGAGGTTTATGAAAAGAGAATTCATGATGGTTTCACAATGTTTTCTTAAAATATGATTATGATTGATTCATAGCATCCGCCAGGACCACCCCCATTGGAGGCACTTCATTCCGACCAGCAAGTTGTAGAGGAGGGTGTTGATGTGTAGTGGGGTCAAGCTCACATCCTGAAAGATAGGTGAGGCAAAACAGGATCTTTTTCCAACCGCAAAACTTGCTTTTCTTTCTATAGGCACTCACTCACCTACTATGCTAGGCCAACGACTGGTCATCCCAAACAAGCGCCAACATGATATATACGTTTTTGCACTTTGGGCACAGGCCCGTGTGGATCGTGTGCGGTCCAACAAGTGGCAATCGGCAATCACGCATGAGTGTTTGAGTGCATCTACCCCTAAAATGCTGTAGACTCCGAGCCCCTTGCTGTCCGACAAAGCTTTTTCAAATCAGAGTCACAGATTTCCATGACCTTGAGGCATCTCAAGGTCCGTCCGAATGAACCATGCTAATGTTGCTATACTGCAATATCGTCAATAGCACACGGAACAAGATATGATGTATGTATATATATATATACAAGATTCAGAAAGGTCCAGATTTTTACCGGTTGAAGGCGTGACTCTTGCTTGAAGAGCATTGTGAGAAGCTTCTGTCATTCTTTGTGAGTCTGGGGCTAGCCTCTATTTAGGGTTCTCAAGGACAGAGTCGTTGCCTTGGTCAGCTTGACCACGTGTCGTGCAGTTTCTCTGCGGTCCAAACAAGGTAAAGCTCGTCGAATTTGGCCATGTTGACAGGTGCAACCTGGGCATAGATCCCAAAGTAGATCAAATTATTCGTTGCTTATAGTGCTTTGCCTTGAGATCAGAGTTTGAGCACTTTGGAGGGGTTCACTGCAATCCCATAGCTTGGAGTCAAAAATAAAGCTTTGTGGGCCGCGCACTACACATACCATGTTGATACAGTCCCTCACCAGCAAACACTGTAGGCAAGTTTGGCTTGAGCATTCAAAACCTGTGAGGTGAACAATACATGGAGAACAGTGACACAAAGACCACAAAGACTTCGAGTGAAGTGCCTAATGCCCGACCAACGGACAGTCAAAGAGTCTGGGTCCAGCACAATGTCGTAAAGTCGGACGATATACTCATGTTTGAGCTTCGAGAGGATTGCAATTTCTCGCAGAATGCGCTTGCCTGACATACGCTGCAGAAAACCAAGCTTGCCATTCAACGCAAGTAAGCAATTGTGAAAGTACAATCACATCGTCACCTTTATGACTTGTGAGAAGGGAGTCTAAAGAATGTAAAGCAAGCTGGCTTGGCAATCCACCAAATCCTCGAACATGTGCCTCAGTCATCAACTGAGGTATACAGTTCCTGCAAGAGTAACATGTCTAGGCCTGTATGGGGTGCCTCTCAAAACTAGGGGATTCGCAAGCCGTCTTGTTTATTCCGTAACGAAAACGGATAGTGATTGCTTTTGGGACACATCCACATGTCCATAAACTGCAACCACATACTTACCTTCGAGTGCTGTTGACCTCCAGACAAACATCAAAATTGTCGCCAAAGAATACAAGATAATGCAAGTAGTTCCTGCGTGCCTGGAACAAGCAAAACGAATCAAAATGAATCTTTCACAAGAGCTTGTATGTAATGATGCGGAGGTGAGATATCTACGATCAAGACCCATGCCGATTCTTGCCAGTGCAATTCTGGGTGCCAGGCCCAATGCGCTTCACAGCAACCAGACCTAAAAGGCTGATCATGAACATGCGCCTGATGATGTTGGCAGGACTTGGAATGGAGGTACGTCAAAAAATCCTGTCCTTGAAGGCAGCTTCCCTGTATGACTATTCCAAAGTCTTGGGCAACATCATCCTTCCAGTACGTTTGAGATTCGTGGGTGGAACCCCCCTGCTTGCTGCAAACCTCTGTGAGCAACCTGCCCCACAGGCCCTACCCACTGTTGGCAGCCCGACACTTCTTAGAGGTGTCAAAGGCTTCACAAACGCTCCCATAGGAGCCCGTCCTGCAGCAAAAGTGCTTTGGAGCTTGACTGCTTTTGAGCTTAAGGCTTGCACTTGGATGCTATGGAAGGTTTAACATGGTGGTACAGAGCTTCTGGAGCCAGAGTCAATTCAAGTGTTTTGATGAATCCCCAACCAGAATGTATTGGATGCACGGGTCTGCACACCCATTTGGTTTCAATCCATATCACTCCGCCACCAGCATGGTCCCGATGAGCTGCTTCACTTCATAGTTTGGGCCAACTTTCCACTTTTCTCCAGGGCCCTTGGATGCCTCACACGCCAAAACAAGGTGTTGGCGTCACCATAAAATAAACACATGTCCAGTTGCACGTTGAAAGTTGTCAATTCTGGGAGTCTTTTCACAGGGAATCGTTTTCACCTGTAGTAACAAGAAGCTACTAGTAACTAGAAGCTTGCTTCCTTGGGAATCGTTTCACCTGTAGTAACAAGAAGCTACTAGCTAGAAGTTTCCTTGACAATCGCTTCACCTGTAGCAACAAGAAGCTACTAGTAGCTAGAAGCTTCCTTGGGAATCGCTTCACTGGGAATCGTTTCACATGTAGTATATAACAAGACACTACTAGTAGCTAGAACCTTCCTTGGGAATCGTTTCGCTGGAAACTGTTTCACCTGTAGTAACAAGAAGTTACTAGTAGCTAGAAGTTTCCTTGGAATCGTTTCACTGGGAAATGTTGCACCTGTAGTAACAAGGAGCTACTAGTAGCTAGAAGCTTCCTTGGGAATCGTTTCACTGGGAATTGCTTCACCTGTAGTAACAAGAAGCTACTAGTAGCTAGAACTTTCCTTGCGAATCGCTTCACTGGGAATCGTTTCACCTGTAGTAACAAGAAGCTACTAGTAGCTAGAAGCTTCCTTGGGAATCGTTTCACTGGTAATCGTTTCACCTGTAGAAACAAAAAGCTACTAGTAGCTAAAAGCTTTCTTGGGAATCGTTTCACTGGGAATCGCTTTCTTGTAGTAACAAGAAGCTACTAGTAGCTAGAAGCTTCCTTGGGAATCGCTTCACTGGGAATCGTTTCACCTGTAGTAACAAGAAGCTACTAGTAGC